CCCCAAAACCCCAAAACCCCAAAACCCCAAAACCCCAAAACCCCAAAACCCCGACACAGGCAATTTTAATTGGACAGGATATTTTAAGATTTAGCCCATCTCTCCAGATCGATATAGTACTTTGCAAAGAAAGCAGGGAAGATATTCATTATTGAGATCTTGTTGTGCCATGCCTCTGATACTATTGAAGACCACACCTCTATACAATCAGGATATTTCTTACCACTTGCTCTGGTTGTATTCACCTCAGTTCCTTGTCCTGTATAGTCTAAATATGAGGAGTTAAACAGTACAGCAGTAAGCAAGCTGAAACTTTGCCTTCGGATCCTTCTCACTTAGCTGATGGTAGATATTAAATGCCACTTTCTTGTTCAGTCCTTGCATGAATGGGATGAAATCCTAAATTACTGAGAAAGTTTCCCTACAGGATTCTCGGGAGGCTGATCAAACTCTTCGATCTGCATCAGAAGATCTGCTGCTTTCACTCCGATGAAAGTATGCTCAGGAGAGCTGTAATAAAACCTAAGATAGAAATAACTTGCTCATATTTTATTGTTTCCAAATCTTCACTTGAGAGTAACATTCTCGTCATTTTCCCAAATTTCTAAACTTTTAGCCTAAACTGCTTACTTGCTGTTATAAAGGCAGCACCTTGGTTGCCCAGCAAGGATGCGTAAGACAAGAGCAACAGAGCATGATCAGGGTTCCCTAAAAGTCAGCCAAAAGCTCTTACACAGGATTTTATGGTTAGTGGGATATTTCTGTGAATAATCACTTGAAAAGTATACTTGGTATGCGAATTTGAACCATTTCTCACCTTCATTAGAAACCACCAAATCTTGTAAAATCCCATTAATTTTATCACAAGTGGTTGGAGTAATGGGCTTGAACAAGTTTTCATAGTAATAAGAGATCATCATCAGCTTAGCATTCATATCCAATTCGTTTCGATAAGCGTAATCCAAGTTCTTATAAGCCTCTTCTTTGTTGATATGCGATGGCTCTGTTAGGTAGATGTGAGCCAGGATAGAGCATGCTTCAAAATGCTCACCGTCCTTGGCGAGTTCAAGGTAGCGAATCGCCATTTCGATATTCTTCTCAATACCTAAATTAGGATCAGAGAATGCTTGCTAGAGCTATTACCAAATCTTTCTGCTTGATAGTACATTGTTCCAAGAGCGAGATTACAAGTTGTGAAGTTGTTTCTAGCACATATTTTGAAATGAGATAGAGCTTTCCAAGGGCTCTCCTCCTGCAGTAGCAAGCCCAAGTTGTAATGTGCTACATTACTTCCTCTTTTAGCTGCCTCTTCGAAGTAAAATAACGCAAGAAATCGGTCTATGTATAAAGATTCTTCTTACTTGGTTCAATTCCTTTAGCTTTGTTTCCAAGGAGATAGAGGTTTCCTAGGATAAGGTGGTATTCAGAGTGTGTAGAATGCTTTGCCATTTCCTTAAAATAGCTTATCTCTTCACTTCCCTCATCTAAGCCATAAATTTCAGCACTCACCTCCGAATTTCAACTGGTTGGTATCAAAAAGGGACACTTCTAAATCTTCATGTTTCATACTGCCATCAGTAGAATTCGAGTCCATAAGTTTCTTAGCCAGGATTTTAGTATTTTTCCAAGTTCGGAACTCCCCAAAGATCTGTTTATCCATCACAGAAGTATTAGTAGTCATTAAGAAATCAATGAAGTCAGGATCTGAGGCTTCAAAACCCATTTTCTGAAGCGAATCATTAACATCTTGTTTGGCTTGGAACATTTTCTCTGCTGAAAACTCAGGCCAAAACTTACCAGAAAGGTTCTTTCCTCTTGTACTAAAATTATTCAAATCAGTCATTGAGTGCATCGCATGGTTTTGATAAAAGTAATCCCTTGAGGTTTTCGCTAGATTTAGGTAATATTTCAAGGTCTCTTCACACTTTTTATCACTCTTAGACATCATGCGGAGGCCTTCAAGGTCATAAAACCTGTTCTCATTGGTCTGGAGTTCCAGGATCGTTGATAAGTAAGTCAAGATTTCATTCTCAAGCTGCTTGGAGTTATCTAAAACGGTAAGATGACTGTACTACCTCTGTAATCTCCTAAATCGCTATGTATAAACAAACTTTGGCTTACCTCTCAGATGATTGTCTTCTTGGTGAATTCTCCTTCCAGAAGTGCATTAATAGGAGAAAGTCTACCTTCCTGAATTTTCGTATATCTTCATCCTTTTGAGCTTCAAAAGCCAGCTCTTCAAGTGAGATATTTGTGTAGTTGTACGGGTTTGGGACACCTTGAATGAAGTTACTCAGAAAATACATGAAATAACGAAGGGATTCAAGGTTACTGTCTTCTCCAACGGAGTATTGGCGGAATAACTCCAGGGTTGTATTGAAATCACCAGCGAATAAGGTCTGGAACACGCCCAAAAGATGCCCATCATGAGTGTCTGTCTGATAGAATTCTAAAATATCTTGGTACTTCAGTGTGACTCTTTCATGTTGAGACTTATTCTGAGTACTTTCTTGATACATCAGCAACTCATTCATCTCTGTAAGGGCGTCTATGAGAGGCCACTTACAGCAGGTATAAGATAATAGCATTAGCAGAAAGAGTCAAAATCTCATTTTTGAAATCAATAAATTATATAAATCATGGGGTTTTGGGGTTTTGGGGTTTTGGGGTTTTGGGG